TCAATTTTAGATTTCATAGACTACAACTAAGAATGAAGCTAATACTCAATTAATTATACCTCGAGGAAATCCTTCAATAAAGTAACACGACGCTTTTCTGCAATGTCCATTTGATTTTCTAAATCTCCTCGATCTGTTGTTTCCGCTCGTTCAATCTTCCATGAGAGATTCTCTATTTCTGCTTCTAATTGAGCTTGTTGATATTCAAACTGTTAGCAAAACAATTCAATATCCATTTATATTATTATATATACGTATATTTTGTTGAACATTATTATTATCTTTTGTCGCGAGATCTTACCAGTTCTTTGCGCGGACCAGATTCCATGTAATAGGCATACGGATACGTATACTGTAAAGTATAACGACAACGCGCTAAAAGCGACGCCGCCTCAAATAGATGTTGCCAATCTATCCATGTACCACTAGCTTTCATCACTTTATTATTAATTCTCATCTTAATCCCCTCTAACGTTTGCTCCTCCAACTTTAATGATTTGCTATGATTCTCCCACTGAAAATAGCACAAAGTGTAGTAATTATAAAACATAAAAAATAAAGTGAAAATTATAATCCAATAACTACGTTATCATCAAGCCAAACTTACTCGCTCGTAATAGTGAAGGTACTTTTTCAGAGCTTCTCTCGCTTGTGCGTGAACGCTCTCATGCGCGATATTTGGATTCTCCTTGTAACGGGAACATTCGTAATATTCACTACCATGTGCTTTCCAATCTCCAAGGCACATCCAGCAGAAATCATGCTTACAATTGTAACATTGCATATGATTGCAGCCACCGTTCTTCTCTATGCAGATATGACATTTTGGACACTGCAAAAACATTTTACGATACATTAAGCGTTTCGTGTTGTACTTTAGAAACTACTCTACAAGCAATAGGAAATAATCACATCTTTGGTATGAGCACTAATGTAATTCGCCGTCTCCGAATCATCCGCACATTTCGTTAACCATTTTTTAATTGTACTGCAATCGGTAGGTGCATGGTAATCCATACCACATCGGAAGCTGGAATTTACAACAGTATTCTCTCGTTGTCAATCTTGTAACATAAAATACTTGTCATATATAACACGCATCCACGATTACTTACCAGAATACAGTTTTACACGATGAACATTTGACTCTCTTTGCTCGTTGTTCCTTGGAGCGCAAAACAATTTGGCAATTTGGACCAGGGCAAAATCGAAGTTGTGGATGAGACTTGACATAATCACAGAAGGCAAACTGCTGATACCTTTCTCTCATGTTAGGCTTAGTAAGTAAGGAGAGGACAAAGTCCTCTGGAGCTAAAACATCGCAATCCTGTGCCATGCAGCTGATACCTAAGGTAAGACAAATATCAGAGATAGATTTTTGACAAAAATTAGCGAAACAAGTACAACTACTACTGATATATATTACTTACCTGTAGATATACCTTGAGTTATTTGTACTTCAAAATGCATACACCAACAGTCTTTGCAAAACGAATGTCCACACGTGAGTGTAGCAAATTTGTCTGCGGGACAAACCATGACACAAACTAAACACACGCCGCCCCGCTGACTCTTTGTTCCTGGCACTTGTTCCGGAGTAGGCTTAATCTTTGAATTTATTAATAAAGTGGAAGCATTGGTACGATACTTAGTGACAATATCCTGTGATGCCCAGTTGTGTGCGTGCAACAACACTTTGGCTAGGGAAGGCGTGACATGAAGGCTAGTACTTAAGACCTCTACGCTTTCGTTCAGAAGCCGTTCCACTTGTTCGACTCGTAAACAATCGTACACCGCATACTCAGGATCTCTCCTGTTTTGCTCCGGGTCTACGTCGTTATCCACGTCGCCTCCCCACGGCTGGATGTTATAATAGTCCTCATAGCCCGTATCCCCGCAGTCGGAGTCCGAGCAATCCATCTCGCTGTCATTCTCGCTCGACATCTGCATAGAAAACATTCTACACGTTAGCCGACGATGAAACGCAGTGAATATTACACGGATATCACGACGCGGAGATGAATGTCAAATGAGGAGAGCAGGAGAGCACTTTTCGCTATAACCTTTACGACCGTGAAAGTTCAAGCGTATTCCGAGCTCCGCAATTGCGAGAAACGACTTGGACGAACTTGGACGGGACACGAAAGGGACCGAATTCGATCGGGCACGAGAGTCGCTTTGAAGTGAATTCGGGAGCGAAGTAGAACCGAGTCTCTTGACAGTCTTTCACGCTGAATGAAAACGATTTTTTGACGCGTTACGACGAACTTCTCGAATTAGTTTCGAGCACGCGTCGAGACGTCGAGGCGTCGAGGGGAGAGAACTTTTGCGAATTTATACAATTCGCGTTCTTTTTTTTTCGTAACCGTCTGTCTGGAAGTTTGCCCTCAAGCTTTCTATCTTTCTCTCTCTCTCTCTCTCTTTCTCGCGTGCTCTCTCACGCGCTGCTTCGACAAACGGCAATTCCGTCGCGTGGATGCGCGTGAGAGTAAGGGTGCGTTGCGACGGTGAGTTGCGTTTCGAATGATCGACAAGAAAGGGGAGGGCGGGGGGAGACGAGGGAGTAATGTTTCTTTTTTTTCTGCAAGGAGAGAGAGGGAGAGGGGGGAAGAGGGGAGAGAGAGAGAAACCCACCTTCTCGGTCGGCTGCGCCCGGTTATCAAGAGAGATGCATTTATGCGTCCGTTTCCGCGTGCGAGTTGATCCGTGCGCGGCCGTCGAAAGAGGGATTCTCGAACGAATTATTCTCAACCAGCCGAGAGAGAGAGAAAGAGAGAGAGAGAGTACGAACTGTCGTAAGCGAGCGGACAGCGGACGCACGAGCAGTACACGAGGACGCGACGGAGAAGAGAGCGTATCGCGTCTCCCTCTCCCTCTCCCTCACCCTCTCCCTCTTCTCACCCGACGATCACATCACCCCCTTCTTCATGCGCGCGCGTATGTGCGAATGTGGGATCGTGTACATGCACGTAGGCCGCGACCCGCGTAGTCGGAACAGATGATCCTTATTTAACTGCATAGCAGATAAGAACGTCAAAAGTCACCTGACACGAAACAGCTGAGCACGATCGTACGATGGCCGAAGGCGAAGAATCGTCCCATCTTCCCCGCTCGTTTAATTATATACGTTAAATTACTTTTTCTTTTCAGTTTAGAAGCACATATATATATATACACAATTTGACGAGATTGTGTATGAGAGAGAGAGAGAGAGAGAGAGAGAGAGAGAGAGAGAGAAAGATGGAGAAAACAAATCGCTCGGGGAACGATTAATGACGTCACTGCACAGCTTTGCCTTGGATTAATTCCTAGTATAATAGGATTCTCAGTATAGCTCGCTTCTTCGAAGTGCTTAGGCAAATGCGACTAAAATATACTTGCGATAAGCGCGATTTAATCGTAGATGTTACGTGTTATCTAAAGGTATCGAATGTTTATTATTTGTTGGCAAATTATTTCAAAATTCTTTGTTTTAAAAATCTGCAATTTTTGGAACGAAACATTTGTTCTATTATTAAAAAAAAGTTCTCGATTAGAAAATCACTTAATTAGATTCTCTAATATTCTCGATTATTTAGCACATGTTTTTTGCTTGAGATTCAAATAAAACAATTTTGTCGCAACGAAGTACAACTAATCCAATTAAAATTGATTCTAAAATTAATCGCTGAGAAACGTGAAATTGATTAGCGTGGCGCGAAATTGAAATCGTACAATTTTTGAATTTTTCCTAGTTATCGACCGAGATCGGATGGCGCGACCTGCATTATCGGCAATTTTGTACGATACAGTTGGTCTGACTTATCGTCAGATGGAGACACCGACGAGATTCGTAAGGTTCGTTTCCTCGCTTCTCCCGTCCATTCCTCTTTGTCTCCTTACCTTCCGCTCCTTAATCCTTTCTTTCCCACTGTTTCCCTCTCCACACTCCACACCGTTCGCGAAGCAGATCGCGAAGCGAAGGCAAACCTGGCATTGGCCGCCTCGCCCACCTCATCCCGTTCTCGCGCACAGCCCGCTCTCCCTCCAGCCCCTCCCGAGCACTCCCGACTCCCGACGACGTCTTTTCGGCTCGCGTCGGCCGCGTCGCTGCGCGCCGCGTCGCGCCGAACAACTTGAAAACTCTCGCGTCCATCGCGGCGCAACGCGATGCGACTTCGTAGTTGGTTGAAATACGCGGAACTGTCAATCGCGACTCCGCGAGAGTCTCTACCTCCGTCGCGAACGTTACGATCGGCACGGATCCCAGTTCGAACGTACGATTTCCCAGTTCCCGGTACCGCGCCTCCAAGAGACGCGCGAGATCGACGATCGCCGATCGCCGATAAAAGTATCTACGATCATACCCCAATCGCACACGCGCGATAGCGAATTACGACGACTTGATTCCGCTTGATTTGACTCGACGGACGTAGTCCGTATCGAACAGTACCGAACGCTTCGTACAGCGTACGTACTTCGTACGTGCTGGTGCGCACACCCAGTGATACGCAAGTGTACGTGTTTATAAAGAAAAGACGCCGCCGCTCCTTTCCTTCTTTTTCCTCTTCCTTTCTTTCTTTCTTACGCGCGCATTCTCTGCATGCCGGTCGGTACGTTCCATGAGATATAAGTATACAATAAAGAAAATTCGCGTCACGATCCCAAGGTTCTAGCTGGTACCGGAAGTGCTGCGAGTGTCGAAAAGTGCCGGAAGTGCCGACCGATTTCATCCAAGCCATCACGCGACAACAACTCTGAAACGTAAATCGCAACGTACGGAGGTGGGTACTTGCAATTCTTGGATACCTGATATTTTTTTATTTATCTTCCTTCTTTTACAACGCTTTAATCGCGCCTTTATTTTTACGCGAGACATTTCATAGCAATGTGTACGAATGGAGAGAAGTGAAAGAGTACTTTTGCCTAAACGAAAACATTTTTTAATTCCGATAGACGAATACG